AAACTGAAGCACCAAAAGTTCCACAGGAACTTAAGGGAATTTTTTTTTTAACAGTGAGGGTGCCAGAGCACTGGAACAGGCTGCCCAGAGAGGTTGTGGAGTCTCCTTCTCTGGAGATCTTCAAACCTGCTTGGACGCAGTCCTGTGCCACGTGCTCTAGGTGACCCTGCGTGTGCAGGGGGTGGGACTAGATGACCTCTAGAGGTCCCTTCCAACCCTAAGCATTCTATGATTCTATGATTCTACACTGACTGGCCTATGAAGAGCATGTACGTTACAGCACTGGTCCAGTAGCTACTGCTCTTGCAAGCTGCTTTGAAGGCAACTCTCTTGCTGGCATTCAAAGAAGAAAAAATCATAGGCAGAATGCCAAAATGTATTTGACAAACTGGAATCTGCTTGAACTTCTCTCCAAGTCCAAGAGTGAGCATTAGGAGTTTGCTAGGTAAAATGGATGCTAGCCATGACGCAGAGCATTTTATTTTAATTTCCTCTCTCTCTCTTTTTTTTTAAATGTGACTTTAAGAAATTCCTTGAAACTCCAGCTTAATTTGAGCCACTCTTTTAACTATATTGCCTCTGTGGGTGGTGGAGTAAAGTTCTGGGCATGACAAATGCTTTTTCCTGTCCTGCTGAGTTTGTATCAACTTGAATCCCAGAAGCAGCCATGTGAGAACATGGACTCTGTGTGCTTCCTGCATGGCAGGAAATCACAAAAACTTGGTAGGACACTGTCTTCCTGCAAGATTCTTAGACCTGTGTGCCCCCCTGCAGCCTTCTAAAGAAACAAATCAACAAGCCGAATCCTTCTGTCCGGATCAAGCTCGATAAACCGTGAAGTGCCTTATCTTGAACAAGGCACCCGGCAGAGGCCTAGTGTGTTGCTTTGCTTCACATTCTTTCCTAGAGCCAACAGACAGTTTTATATGGAATAAACCTGTTGAGGAAAACTCCTTTTGCATGTTAGGGTGCAGAGGGAATTGGTAGAGGATGCTTTATGCTGTGTGTGGAGCTGTGTCTCAGGTGACCTTGAACAGTGAAACTGGGATGGGATAAGAAGCTAATTGCAATAATCAAAAGAAAGATGAGAACCAGAGAGAGGTGGTTCAACCTTCTTCTGTACTTCTTGCCCAGCCTGTCTCCATCTCAAATGTCCTCTTGAGTTTGTAGGACTCTATCTAGCCTTCACTGTAAATTCCTAGACTGTATTACCAGTATCTATTGTAAAGTAATGACTGTAATGCCTTGTCCAAAGGCATTTCTCCTAATAGGATCTAATTTTCGCAAGAAGACTTAATGCACTTTGTTGAACCCAAACCTATGTAGCTTTAGTTTGGAGAAATGGACAAGCAGAGCTGGAGAGGAGAAAAAAAGCCCAAGTAAAGACTGGGCTCTAGGCCCTAGATGCCCTACCCTAGGGAATGCCAAGGTTGAAATTCCACAGAGCCTGGCACCTTGGGGCCCGAGGTGATGCTAGATCCAGTGGAAGGGGAGGGCACTGCTGTGGCTATGGTTGCTTCAAACCTGCCAAAGCAAGACAAATGTGATTTGGAAGCTGGGCAGACAACTGCTCCATCTGATTGAGCCCTAGAGCTGGTACTTGGCTGCGCTGATGAGACTGTTTGTGTAATGCTGCATTTGGCATCAAATGCCTTTATTCTAGAAAAACACAGGTGTGATTGAGTGCTATTTTGACAAAAGCCAGCAAAAGAGACTGGGATGGCTGAATTGCAGTCCTGAAACAAAGAATTTTGGAGGGCTGATGGCAAGGGAGAAGCTTCCGATGCCCTGGATGTGCACAGGTCCTGAAGGATACAGGATTCATATATCAGGGCATGCAGCCTGCTTCATGTGCAATGGCAAATATCTTTCCTTGTGCTCCACAGAGCCTGCTTTCCTCCATGCACCGCACTGTCTATCCCTTTTTTTTAAACCTTTAGGATTGGTAGGTGCAGCGTTCACAAAATCTGTACAAATGCAGCCTACTGCCATCTTTCTACTGTGGAGAGGAAAAGTGAAAAACAGAGGTCATATAGCTTGTATTTTTTGCCTTGAAACAGTGGTGGAGGACAATACCTTTGCATTTTAAGTAGCATTCCAAGAGAAATTTGGAAAGATCCTGGTATTGTCAACTAGAGAAAACGTGGACTTTCTGCAGTGCAGAAGGGCTGCTCTTTGCACGCTAGCCGAAGGCTTGGCTATAGCTAGAACCTTATGGTAGCACTCTTCAAAGACCTCGTGGTGTCACCCTGTTCCCTCATGTGTCTTCGCTCACTTTGAGGAACGCCTTCCTGAATCTGCCCTTAGACATTGCCTAGTGGTGCTCACTTTTCACTATGATAAATAGGTCCTTTCTCTGAGCAGGTGTGTAACTCATCAATTATGGTTTCTTTCTGAAGGTTCCTTTTAAATTAGCCCAGCTTCCACATCAATTTCTGCGCTTCTGGAGTCCCATCAGGAAAACTTAGGGGACTAGCACTCAAAACACACGTGATGCTCATGAGTTTTGAAGGGGTTCTACCCTGACGAGTGGAGGAATTGTCTGACATCCTGAACATGAGATGGGTTTGCTGTCACCCTTGCATGCTAACAGGTTAAATTCAGACTCTTTTAGGCAGACTCTTTTAGGACCTGGTGTCTTTGATCTTCAAAACAATCCTTTTTCTTCTTGCAGCAATCTAGTTGCATTTTGTTTTCGATGCCAGAAGACTTGCTTGTTTTTTCCCTGTTATGGTTCCTCCCTTATGCTGAGGGTAAATGGTAACAAGGGTGTGAATGGTAAGACAGGACCAAACCCGAAATGGAAACGAGGAACTTCATCCAGTAGGACGCCAACTTCTACTGCCATTTATATCTTTAAAGTCTCCTCCAGGTGTCTTTTCTCACAAAGTGTTTGAGACTGGTTGCAGACCATCTTTGGGTTTGGGACCTGAAGAAGCTGTTACCTTTGATGTTGCGTCCTGGTTGCTTTTAAGTTTTTGATCCTTAATGTACTTTCTCCATGAGAAAAATTAGGCCGAACATGACTTTGACTTAAATTTTGTTCAGTAAATCACCCAAAGGATTGATAACACCGAGAGGTGATTTCCTGGGAGAATTGTATGAAGCCTAGATATTCACTTCTTTTTACTGGGACCAAGTAAAATACTGTTTGTTCTAAAAGAAATCAGGGTGAAACTTGTGGAAACAAACCAAAGGTGTTAGAGGCAAGAATAGCTCTTATTTTCAGAGCTCGCAGCTATGAATAGTATCAAAATAAACACTTTTGGCAAGCCACCTAGACAGCTGGTTTTTGACATGTCTCAACAGCACTAAGAACGCTGGTGCTGGAGCAGCTGTCGGTGTGTCGTTGGAAGGGCCCTGAAGTGCTCAGCTCTCAGATGCCAACAGGTCTCTGAGCTTCTTGTCCACGTGGAGGCAGCGTCGCTCTCTTGTGTTGGGAGGAACCTTCTTGAGATCGTTGGATCATGGATTTTATGCAGCCTCCGAAAGCAAAAACAGACAATTGGTAGGAAAAAACTTAGGGCAGAACAGTGTTTCATGACTTGAGCTATTGATGAGAGCAGAAGGGAAAATCTTGCTTACGATTATGGCTTATTGAAGAGTTGGCATCTAATGGTTGAAGAGCTTTTTATTTGTGCTTTGGTTTCTAGGTGCTTTTAAGGGCCTGTATTTCATTTCATCTTGGATACCAAAGATTCAACTCCATCTGATTGGAATGGCTTTGTTTTTTAAGGACTCTGAACCTCTTCAGTTTGTCTTATTTGTGCTGCTGACATCAAGCATTTGGTCTGCTGAACATTTTGTCCACCTCCAGCTGATACATGTATAGCCAGTTAACCTGTCTGTTGCTCCAATTTATAGCAACAATTTCCATTAGTGCCTTCCATCAGACCCGTAGAACAGCTTGTATTCTTCTATATAAATCCATGTAGTGTTAGGTAGTCTGTTGTTAAATCAAGCTTTGGCTTTTATGTATGTGACACAAACACAGAGTGTCATCTCCTGCATCTAATTTTTAAATCTCCAATGGCTTTTTCCTTAAGAGCCTATTCTGTTGTCTAATAGAATACCTTTTGTTTTGTACTTTTTCTCCTCCTTTCAGTCTAGATGAACTGTTTCCAGAAATGTTGAGTATGGATGCTTTCCAAAACACCTGGAATTCCTAGAGGCTTGCAGATATGGGTTAAAAGAAGAGCTAAAAAAGGAAAAAAAATATTGTGATCAGGGATATGTGCTTGCCCTTTGTGTCTGTCTGTTATGATGACGATGGCTTGTGGCAATGCAGCATGTGACAAGGCTGTTTGTTCTCATGTTGGTGTCCTAGATGTCCTGCAGTGCCAAGGATCTGCTGCCTATCCCACAAGCACTTACCTAGCTGTATCTAAATGCCTTCAAATTCTTTGGTTTGATGACTTGATGAGGGTTTTCTTGGTCAGCAGAATAAATTACAAATTTAATTTTACAATGATGCTAATGATTCCAAAAAGGCCAGAAAATATTCTTAAAGCTTGTCAATAAAACAAAAGCTTAAAACATAGATTGAGTCCTTCAGTGTAGCTTGGTGCATGATGCCAGAGGTGATCTGTGGCTGTTTGTTTATGCAAACTTCTTCATTATCCTCCCTACACATGCAAATGATGCAGTGATTTTTTTTTTTTTAAGCCCTTGTCAAGCTGGCTAATTGGGGGGAAAAATACCGTGTGGTGATAGCAAAGCCCTGCCATTTCTCTTATCTCACTCTGGCAATGTTTGTTAAGGAAGATCCAAAGTTCTTGACCTCAGCGATCTGGTTTTAAAGCATTTGCAATTGACTTCCAAGCATAGAAATAGTTTGAATGCATTAAATGGGTGATTTCCAAGACATTATTTGCTGTCTTCTTGATCTAGCAAGAAGTGGTGAATAACAGGCTGGTTCTTGAGAGGGATATCTCTGTTAAGTCACGCACGGAAAGAAGGAACAGCTCCTAGAAACCCTGCACATGGATTGTCTGTGTTTTTCAGCGGATGTTATGGTTTAGACAGGGAGGATTTTGGAGTGAAATCATTACTTTATATCCCCTTGCTTCACCACTGATTTCTTAAGAAATTAGTTGTGTCCGGTTACCCTGGATGGTTGCAAACCTGGGTTTGGGCTTTATACAAAATTTGTGTGATGGTATTGAATCAAGGATGAAACCCATCAGAAGTGGCATGAGACAAATACGAAGTATGAACAAAGTTTGTTTATTTCAGCTTTGTTTTAAAATTCGGGGGAGAAAAATAAAAAAAGAAGAAAAAATCAGCACTAAACTCAGTAAACAACCTCTGTAGCAATGACCGGCCTACTTGGATGCATCTCTGCCCTAGACATACTGGATTTTTGTTTTTCAGCTGCCTCTTCCCTGGAGATTGGAAGGGAGACAGGCAGCCTGGGATGACAGGAATATCTGTTATTCTTGTGCTCCCTCTTGCATTGCAGGGCATATGAAGTCACTGTGAAGACAGGCCCTGGCTCCCGAGTGATGCCAAGGGATCCTCCGGGAATAGGCCGTGTCTGATTTCAAGGGACAGGGTTAAATTTGCTTTCCTGGCTTCTGGCTGATGCTTTCCTGGGTTGTGTCATCAGTCTGGTGACGAGGAGCCCTGCGTGCCAGCTCACTCGCTCCCTTCTGGGCTGGGAACAACCGAAGGGTTTAGAGACAGCAGTGAACGGCCCTTTGCTTTGGTGATGGACTGATTTGGAGATGTAATTATTTATATAAGGATGACTGGCTCTGGCCAGGCTAGGAACTTGCCCGTGACATGCTCACGAGAAGATGAGGTCTTTGCCTGGAAGGCTTGTAATGTACTTTGCAAAACGATATGGCATATATGGGAATTGGGCTGTCAAGCAAGAGCAACGTGATGCTGTAGAGACTAACCAGCGCTTGCCCTTGTGGGCACAGCGTTACAGGGAGTGATTCTGTTGATGTCAGTGCTATTTGCTGTTTCAGAGCAGTTTAGATGTTGATCCGAGCCTCTTGAAGAGGATACCCTAGCATTTGGTGTAGTGCGAGTGATGGTTATGGCTTCTAAACTGTGTCTTTTAATGGTTGTACCTTAAGTGAGGATGTTCTTGGAGCAATGTCAAAACACTTTTTCATCTGCGCCTCTGCAAGTTCAACACAAATTGTGTTGGGGTTGAGTTCCTGGGAAAGGAGTGTGGAAGCAGGTGCATGCAGCTCCAGTGGGTCGCAAATAAGTTCCCTCCTTCCTGAGATGCTAAGCTTGGTCTACAGCCTTGGAAAGACTTGGAGATGAGACTCAATGCTGCTGGGGCTGAGATCGTCTCTCCTTGAGGTCAGGCTCAGTGGCATCTGTCTCAGTGTTGAGGATAGGATAGCCAAAGTGCATTGAGTTTAGAAATGGATTGAAAATCGTATTTATTTATTTATTTATAGCTTTCTAGAGTTCATATTATAGTACCGCCTCCAAGATACACAAGTGTCATCACTATCATCAGATTATCAATTTGGCCTAGTTTGAACTAAAGGTCCATCCCAAAGAGACTGTTCTATATGACTTTCATCAATGACTTTTGCAGACAATCTTGGCTCTGTCCAAACTTGCATTTCTCGGGACTCTTGCCTATTGATTTGCCACCTTGGATCTGTTTGACTCTGTTTCCTTTGAGCACCTTCAGCAGTGGAGGCTGCGACTGCCCTGCTTTTTAGGTTAAAGCATCCTCTGGGGTCATCAAATCGACTGCCTCTCAAGAGGGCTGGCATCCAACCAAGGATTGATCCTGCCTCTGCAGAAACCAAAATACACTGAGAGGGGAGGAGGCCAAGAAGTGTTTGAATCTTGTTATCCATGACACCTGTGTATCCTCACTAGGATAGGACCCTGCTAGAGCCTGGTGGCCAGGTTGGATAAGGACATCAAGACTGGTCATCGTGGCCCACCTCTACAGAGGGGAACAACACTGTTTTTGTTAGCCCTGCTTCATGCAAGATGAGCTCCTAGTCATACGTGTGGGTAACAGCAGTGTTGCCCATCTGTCTCCTACCCTCGTTAAAGGATTTTTACATAGATCACTTGGTGAAGCCAGTACAGGCTGCCTTTTCCCAGTCTTCCTTGACTGAGATGACTTACTGCTTAGCACACTTTGTTCTTCTTTATTCCTGGTATGATTGCATCCCTGATGAGCCTGCTCGTAGGGGTCCAGATTCAGTTGCTACTTGATGTGAGGTAGCATCTTGACCCGGGGCGAGCTTTGCACCCTCCCTTTAACCATTTCTAGCCCAGACTGGCAGTTGTACCTTGTCCTTTGGTCACTGTCTCAAGTTTGGATGCTACCTGCTCTATTTCTGTGCAATTGCTGAAGCCTCTGAAAGTAAATACTGCGCACTGCTCTGTGCAGACTGGATCACCTTGCAGTGTTCAACCTGGGAAACCGGAGCTACTTGGGGAGAAACCTGAGATTCTGAAGGCAACCCAAGAAGCTGAGGCTGCCTGGGATCTTTATGCACTTGCTGCTCCCTGCTGACAGCTCTGGGCATCGTGCATTTACCAGGAAAGCTCTTTTAGCCTGACCTGATGTGACCCATCATTGCCATGTGCAGAGGGTGGAGTGGAGGTGTTGCCCTCTTGGACAGGCCTGTCTTTGATTGGGAGGCTTCGCTGGGAAGACAACATGCTGCAGTGTTGCCTGTGTTAAACAAACAGAAAAATGGACAAATATTGATGTGTAACTTGGGCCAGAGGAATGCGGCAGAGAGATATCCAAGCTGTGTGAAGGTTGCATTGGAGACAACTCAGGGCAGGGTATTTGGTCTAGCTGCTTTTGCACCAAAACTTTCTGTCCTGAGCACCTAAGTTGGCCAGTTATTAAGAAAATATATATTTCTTAAAGATGCTTTCAATCCCCAGCAGGTTTTTATATGTGCCGAGCATGTTACTTACAACATGCATTTGCGGTATTTATCGTTAAAATTATTTATTTCTCAAACCTTCCAAAATTTTTCAGGAATTTTTGAAAATCATAACTTGGGTGTATTCAGTGTGCTTTGATGGATGCTCACAGATCCTCGTGGTGGCAGAGATTGACTGGGTAAAAAGTGTTCTAAAGAAAGAAAATTTTGAAAAAAAAAGTAATGTATTTTGAAATTTGCTTTGTTATGAAGCAGACTTGTTTAATAGCAACCTCTCAGGTTTTATCCAGGTAGTTGCCTATTTTTTATGGTCTGTGTTTTCTTTTATGGATTTTAGAAGGTTTGCTATATTGTTTTCTTTTAGGGGAAAAAAAAGAATATTTTGTCATGCTGTAGTTTTTTTTGAACAAGTCCTAAATCTCTTACTATCTGCTCCAGTCAACAGGAAGGAATTTAAACCAAGACTTATGGCTTATCTCTATGGCTTTTATAGATAAGGATTTATAACTTTTCCAGGCTTGAGGCTTTTTAATTTTTTTTATTGTTGTTATTTATCACTATGAAGACCAGATGGAACGTTTGTAATTAAGAGAAAGCAATTGATCTTCACATTTAGCAATAGATCACTTTAATGAATGAGTAGGTGTGGAAATAAAATGTTTGCTACAGAACCAAGGATTTTTTTTTGTGTGTGTGTGTGTTTTTTTTTCTCTGCTCCATTTTCCATTTTATGGATGATATTCTTGTTCCTGAACTGTTTTGTGTCTCTATAATGGCACTTTCTGTGGGTCCTCAGCAAGCCAGTGTTTGGGAACCGTGTTGGTGGGCATCTCTCTAATATAGCAGGTACTATTGCAGCAGATTTGGACTACTTGGGCGTCCAGCATCACAGAGCATCGCAGGCCTGCGCTGAGCTTTATCTTCCTGTGAAATATCATCAGTGGATTCAGATCCATTGGTCATCTTCAGGTTTCAGTGAGATGCAAATTGTCTGGAGGATGCTTGATACCCCAGTGTAACTGGCCAGCACGTAGTCTTCAAAACAAGATTGTTTTGGCTCTCTAATCCTTCTTCCCAGAATCATCCAAGTTGCAATTGTTTGTAAACCTTTTAAACCTTTCCACTTGCTATTAATCATTTATTGCTCTTTTTTGTTTTGTTTTGTTCTTCCCTGCATAGTTGGCACCAGAAAACACTCTGATGTCCTTCCAGAAGGCAGTGGAGCAGAAGATATATGGAGTCCAAGCTGATGTTGTACTGAGGTAGGTCAGTGCACTGATTTGCTTGAGCAAAGAAACTTTCTTTTTGGATGGCTTAAGCCTCCTGGGTCTCTTTTCTCAGGAATCTTTCTGGGCATCCTCAAATTGCTTCCATGTTGTGCTAGTCACCAGGCAGGTTTTACCTGTGTTGCAAAGTGGTCACAAGAATTTAGCGGCACAGCAGTAAAACCTTTCTCCTCCTCCCCTTCCTTCCATGAAGCTA